GGGTGGTGAGGCACTGGAACAGGTTGCCCAGGGAAGCTGTGGATGCCCCATCCCTGGAGGTGTTCAAGGCCAGGCTGGATGAGGCTTTGAGCAACCTGGTCTAGTGTGAGGTGTCCCTGCCCATGGCAGGGGGGTTGGAACTTGATCTTTAAGTTCCTTTCCAACCCTAGCCATTCTAAGACTCTCTGAAAACACAAAGGAAAGCCTTTTGGTATTCAAAGGCTTCCTTAACTCCTTAGGTGTTTTTATGTGGCTTATTTCTATTCCTCTAAATCATCTTCTGTCATATCACATCTAAACACAGCTAGAAAGAATGACAATAAATACCTTAAGACATCTGGTACAGTACAAATATAGCTTCCTGCAACCAGGAGAGCACCAAGGACTCAGTGAGTGGAGAAGATCTACTGGTTTTGACCAAAGTATTACTGTGTTCAGACAGCTCAGGAAAGGCTTTGGATCTGATTTTAGGGAGATTCCCAAGGCACTTGTGCACATTTTTAAAAGTGTAAAGGTGCTGATCCTCAGCTGTGTAGTGGGCCTATTTTGTCCACTCTGTTTGTTACATGGAAGAGCTGTGGTACCAGGCTGGTCAGCTCTGCAGCCAGGCCATCTGTGCCTGTCAGGATTCTTTAGAAAACATCTCCTGTTTCTTTTTTCAACCCAATGTGTTTTCATGGGAAAGGAGTAGCATCCTAGCATAAATTAGTTTGCTTGCTGCTCTGTGTTACACAAGAGTATTGCACTGTGGCACCTGCGTCACATCCTTGGGTAGCACAGTCCTGACTCAGAGCATCCCCTTTGTTTTGTGTGAGTTGTAGCACAGGCACCAAGAGTTCAGTCTTTGCATTCCCTACCCCAAGTTAAATTTAGTGTTTGACACAGGCCAAGCTAGGTTACATGATTGGTTTTCTGAACTGTGATCTAAAATAAAGCTCTCTAGATTTCCCAGTAGGAAAAACTATTGAAAATAGATGCACGTGGTTGTCAACATATTGGAGTGCTGAGCAATTTTGGGCAAATCACAGTAAGGGCAAGATACAAAACCCAGTGTAATGATTCAGGCAGACATATTTATTTATTTCAAACGGGATCTATGTTGAGGAAATTAAGTTTCAGGTAACTGAACTTGGCCATGTAAGTTTCTCCATCTTTTAATGTTTTTACAATAGCGAATTATGGAAGCAAGTGTTACAAGTATTTTAATGCCAGGTCTCATCTTGCTTTTCTGTTTTGTGCAGGCTTTCTAGCAGTAATATTTAAACGAGCAAGGATGGTAACTTAAAACTTTGGGTATATTTATCTATGAACTGAAGTAAGTTTATAAAGTACTTTCTTTGAAAAAATGAATTTGAAACTGACAATGAAAATAAGATAGATGGGGAAAAAAATATCACACAACTTCTTTCTGTTCCTTGGAGGATTTCTGCAGATGAAAGGGCAGGTTTAAAATTTAAAAAGGTGTATTTCTATAATCTGACAACCTATATGACTGCTTAACCAGTTCCTGCAGGAGGATATAAACCTCTCTTTACAAATAAGCTGGCTTTTTTTATAAACAAAGTGCTTCTAAAGCAAACAAAAATAAAGAAAACAAAAATGAGCTATAGAGATTAAATACTGTCTCAAAGAGAGGAAAAACTCAAAAATCAAAACAGAAACAGAGCATACTCAGCAGAACTTACAAATCTAGCTATTAAACTTAATTTACATGGCAGCTGTTGAGGTATAGTGTGCCATACAGATTGCAGTGCCACACTGTTAAGTACCTTGCGTATATTTTAGTAAGAGCGAATTCTTATCCTGTGTTTCCCCATTAGGAGAGGTCAAGTTTATTAGGGGACATCTAAATTGCTCACAGCAGCCAAAAATACAGTCAAAGGATCTTAATTTTCTCCCTGAAAGAGGAATTTTACTATTGAATATTTTTCAGTAATTAAAACAATAGGTCAGATTAATGGTTGCTTGAAATTGAAATTATTTTTTTCTCTAATCCTTACAGAATATCTGCATAAAATGGTTTTTAAACGAATACCACTTTAATTGTGTGAAATTAATAGTTAAAAATTGCACTTTTAATGTACCCTTCATGATTTTCAATCCCGGTGTAAATGCACATAAGAAATGACCTGTGCACTGTATTAATTAGTATGACTGAGCTTTTAGGTTCATGAGTAAAATAGCTTAAATATTTGTTCTTTCAGGAGTTTCTTGATACAAACTGTGATGGCTAAATATAAATGTAATTGCATTAAGTTATGAGTTTTTGCTTCCCTTCTCCCCCTCCCCTGCCTCCCAAACTGCCCCCTTTCAGTCTCTTGTCCAGTTCTGCTAGGCAGTGAACTTCATGCATTTAAAAAAACCATCCAAAACCATACCTTTACTATAGCAATTTAAGACACTCTTACAGTTTGTAGTTTTCCCAACAGCTGCCAAATTGTTTCAGTTATCATTCAAAAATGCCACAGCTTATTATTGTACAAGTGTATACATACTGCAGAATAAATATTTTAGCTGTCAAATAGAAAATATTAAAGTTATGCTCCAAAATCTATGTAATACAAAATCTCCTTTAATTTTAATCTACCTTTAGTAGACCTTCTGTTCAAAGGTTTCATATTCTTATCCAAGTGTCTGATAGCCCAACAGAGCTACTCTTTCTTGACTCTTGATGAGTTATATATGTGAAGAACTCCTTTATTAAGATTGTTCTGATCTTGCCACAGGGATGAAACCAAAGAGCCCCAAGGCATCAAAGTGGAATGCTATAAGGGAGAAGGAGGTTTTTGTCCTCCTTAATCCACCTGTAATGTGAAAGTGGTATATCTTTTCTGCACAGCTATTTTATTTTAGACTGGAGTAATTATATATATACTACTTATAATTTATAAATTTTGACGAAAAATCAGTATGAATACTTCAACTGGAAAAATCTCAAACTTAATTCCTTAGTTAAATCTAGTCATACAAAGTTATAGCCTTTAATATCTCAGGTACAGAAGCAGATGCAGGGTCGTTCCCATCTTGTAGTAGCTCTTCTGAGTCAGAAAATCCAAAGTAGTAATCTTACTGTTGTCTGAGATGCTGTAGAATTAAGAGATGGAATATGGGTGTTTTGTCCCAAGAGACTGAGATTATTGTTAAAACAAACAGCTCTAGAAATATTTACAACTAAATTTAAAAAATACAGAATGAAGAAAAATGTTTTGTTTCAATTTTGCATTTGCCATGGGAAATAAGTTTTCCACAAGCCATTCTCATGTAATACACATGGTTTGAAAAAAATGCACATGTTTATGCAACACTGGAACAAGGAAGAAATGAGAGGTTTGTAGCATCAGCTGGACAGGATGTTTCACTGAGATGTCAGCACTGTGAATAACACAATAACTCTGAGATGCAGTAGACAGTGATGTCTATGTAGACTGACCTAAAATTGTGTCCTCTGTACCGTTAGAAATCTCCATGTTTTCTCTGAGATACCCCGACCTCTATTGAAAAGTCTGTCTTAACCAGAAGATTGCCTTTCTCCTGCAATAACATTAAGAAACGGCACTTCCATTAGTGTAGTACAATCCTGCTTAAGATCATGATTTACCTTCTCTAGCCATGACTAATTGCACAAACCATTGCAGCAGTCTGGCATCTCAAGCTTCATAGAATCGTAGCATCACAGAAAGGTAACAGTCAGAAGTGACCTTTAAAGATCATCCAGTCCAGCCCCACAGACATGGGCAGCGATGTCTTGTACTAGATCGGGTTACTCAAAGCCCCATCCAACCTGACCTTGAATACTTCTGGCAATGGGGCATCCACAACTTCTCTTGGCATCTTGTTCCAGCGTTCTACCATCACCATCATAAAACCTTTCTTCCTTATATCCAATCTAAATCTACTCTCAGTTTAAAACTATTAACCCTCATCCTGTCACTACAGGCCTTGGTAAAATGTCTCTCTCCATCTTTCTTATAAGCCCCCTTTAAGTATTGAAAGGCTGCAAGAATGTCTCCCTGGAGCCTTCTCTTCTCCAGGCTGAACAACCTCAACTCTCTCAGCCTTTCTTCTTAGGAAAGATATTCCAGCCCACTGACCCTTTCTGTGGCCCTCTTATGGACCCACTCTAGGAAGTCCCCATCTTACTTATGCTGGGAACCCCAGAGATGGATGCAGTACTCCAGGAGGGGTCTCCTGAGAGCAGAGCAGAAGGGGAGAATCACTTCCTTCAACCTACTGGTCATGCTTCTTTTGATGCAGCCCAGGATCTAGTTGGCTTTATGGGCTGCAAGCACACATTGCAGGATCGCGTTCAGTTTTTCATCAATCAGTATCCCCAAGTCCTTCTCTGCAGGGCTGCTCTAGATCAATTAATCCCCCAGTCTGTACCAATTGCGGTGATTGTCCTGACCCAGGTGTAAGATCTTGAACCTGGCCTTATTTTGTAGGTCTACATGGTCTCACTCCTCACACCTGTCCAAGTCCCTCTGGATGGTATCCTTTCCCTCTAGCATGTCAACTGCACCACTCAGCAAACTTGCTGAGGGTGCGTTCAGTCACGCTATTTATGTCATAATGAAGATATTTAATGGTATGGGTCCCCATACAGACCCTTGAGGGATACTTCTCATTAATGGTTTCCAAATGCGTATTGAGCTAATGACTGTAACTCTTTGGACATGGCCATCCAACCAATTCCTTATCCATCTCACTGTCCCTCCATCAAACCCACATCTCTCCAAATTAGACGTAAGGATATTGTAGGGGACTGTATCAAAGGCCTTATGGAAATCCAGGCAGATGGCATCCATAGTTCTTAGCTGATGCAGTCACTCCATTGTAGAAGGCTACTAAATTTGTCAGGCATGATTTTGCCTGAAAAATTTCTTGAAAGTATGTGGTGAGGTATTCAGAAACTTTTTGGTTCTAAAAAGAAGCATTCTGTTGGAAGTATTATGGAGATACTGCTGAGTTTAACCTCTCAGAAGTGATTTTTCTCTAACTGTTATCTAGAAAAGTAAATAGGTATTTCTTGTTATGGCATGTCATTTTTATGTTTCCTGGCAACTCTCTCTGTGGAGGTGATTTAATGAAGGCTGCAATGACTGGCTAACACAGCTAGCAGTTCATTGCTCTGAAAGAAGCGTCCACCTTTAGGGAATGTTTTTTTCAAACGGTGTTGTTAAAGATGGCAGCCTGAAATACTAGACAGTACTCAGTGATACATGAGGCTTTTGAAGTAACCAGAGGCAAAAATGTTGTCAAGTAATTTATTAAGCATATGTTTCAAATTTGAAGTAGTTTCAAAAACAATGACCACTTAAGAAGTGAAGTGATTGTTTTTCTTTGTCTTTTAGTATCTCAGATTTCCAGTTTCGAACTTGGCATGTGCGAGTGGCATTCAGATCAGCCATCTGGGCCTCCTGTGTGGGCACGACTGCAAGCTGGGCACAAGATTGCCTCCTGTTCTTTCCTGAAAGATTGGAGCAACAATACTGAAGGTGGGAAATTTAAGTTAATGCATGCTTACTAGCTGTCATGAAGAATATGGTACTTCTTAGGACAAGGTGATAACCTAATGTAGAAACAGAATAAAGCCATGAAAACTAATTGTATGTATTTTGTACTTAAATTAGTTTTTGCTTTGATCATTTAGTAAGGGTGCTGTGAACACACATGCTAGTAAAATGTGAAAGATTTTAATGTAAGAATTCCCATATAAACTAATAATTGGTTTATTCTCCAGTTAATTCTTTTATAAGATCTATGCAACAATTTGGTGAAATTAAATCAAATTCATCTAAGCCCACAGCCCTTTTTGTGGTTTGGTTTGTTTTTGACACTAGGTGGTTTTACTTGTGTAGTACTACTATGTTTGAGCATGCAGTCAGGAATTTAAATTTAAGCACTTAATTAGGGGAGCTGTAGAGAAACAATTATTGTACAAAATATTTTATTACTCTTAATAAAATTAATCTGGTTGCATTTTTCAGAAATAAAGAGCAGCATTTATTTTTGAAGTCATTGTGTACTGACTGGGTTTACGGGAATGAATTTTGAAAGCTTAATGGACATAAATGTCTAAGTGTTGTAATTTGAAATGGAATCGCCTTGCCAGCTAAGCGTTTGGCTTGTCTACTGAGACTGCCTTCAAAGGGGTTAAGTAGCACTAGTTGTAATGGTATAATTTGTGATGTAGCTTTGAAGAACTTGATAGTGTGGAGATTACTGCTTGAACTCTGAGCCTACAGAAATGGAATACCTCTTATTGATAGCAGCAGAATGAATGTTTGGATATGGTTTTCATTTTAGAAAGATTGTTTAAATCAATTCTAACATACATTTCAACCCACTCTAGTAACAATAAATCAAATTATAATGGAACAGCAAGCAAAAGTGTTTGAGCAGAAAGCATATAGACTAGTAAGGCAGATTTTTTTTTTTTCTCATCTTTAAAAATAAAAGAAGAAGTAGTCACAGCATCTTTCAGTTTCCACTGGGATATCTAACAAAAATGAAACTTTTCATTTGATTTTATTTTAAACATCTCCCTGAAAGCTGTTGTATCAGTGTCATACCTTAACATGATACCTCAAGGGCTAGTAATGGATATGGATTTCCCTTTTACGGACATATGTGCTAACAGAAAATATACTGGAAGTGGCTTTTACAGGACCAGATCACCAAAAAAAAAAAAAAATCTACTGAAAGAGAACACATTTTGAAATGTCTGTTGTATAGGTGCTTGAGCTTTATTGTATAAATATGCACAGGTACCGGAGTAGACAACACATAACACAAACAACTGCTTAGGGACATTTCCTGTGCTTCTACATCATAAAGGAAAAAAGAAAAGGTAAGAAGGAAATGAGTGTCAAAACAATACACAGAGTTTAATTCACCATTAACATTGGAAAGTATTGAAAAATCTGAATTATGATTACTCACTTCTCAATACATTCAGTATTTCTATTCATGCAGATTTGTTGAGGCATAAATGGAGAGGTTGAATATTAACTAAAATTCTAAAAACTAAAGAAACTATATGCAAAATGCAGAAATGCCATGCTTGAGGGCTCAGACTTGCAGTACAAATAGAGCTTGACTAAGCTTTAGTTTCTGATTTTGATCAAAGCTTTCACCACTATAAATAGGAGTAAGAAACAAAATTATAAAGCAGAGGTCTAGACAATTTTATTTATAGAGAAAGGATTACTTATAGGCTTTGAATAATCCTCCTTTACTGCTATTCTTAAATTTAATAAAATACTTTCTGTCCTTGGTGGACTTCTTCCTTGTTCTTTTATTGCTGCTTTTCTCCAATGTTGTACAGTATGCACTTTCTCTATAACTTTTCCTCTTAATTTCTCTAGTGTCAAAAGTTCTTACAGAAGTTTTATCTTCCCCTGCAATACTGTTCAGAAAATACTTTGTTGTTGTTTTCTTTATTGCTAATTTCAGCATGCTTTGTGGTTTCCATAGCTCATTTTTCTTACATTGGATTAATTTAGTTTCACATATCTGGGGTAAAACTTCTTTAATAAGAAACTAATGAAGGAAATTCACTGCATAATAAAAATAGAGATTATGAACTGCAAGGAGTCTAAGGAAGTGCCATGGCTTTTAAACCCAACATTTCCAATGACTAATTATAAAAATCCCTCAAATTTAAACATGAAAAAACACTCAAATTAGAGATTCACAAGTTCAGAGGCTTTTCTGCTGGGGAAGATAACTTTCCAGAAGAGGAAGAGTCCCATTCTGTGGCTCAGTTTTAACTGAAGGCTCAGTTCTATGCTATTAATTTTAGAGTAAGGTTCAAGGTTATGTAGTTTGTTAAATTAAAAAAAAAAAAAGGGGTTAAAACAAGAGGAGTGGCAAAATTTTGAGTCAGGAAATGGCTAAGATGGAGCCAAGCAGATAAATATTTATGGGCTTTGAGTTCTCAGGGTAGCAGTATACAGACGGCTTGACTACTCCACCTTGGCCCTAAGAAGACACTGGGCGACCTCAGCAGTAAGTTGTAAGCTCTGCTTCTAGTTGGGCTTCATTGCAGTCAGTGGCCGATCTTTCCACAGGACTCCAAGATTGTGCTTATGAGAGACATTTTTTCTCATGTTGGAAACACGCACAGCTCTGTGACTCAGTAGCTCTAGTACCACATTGCAAGGAATGAAGTGGCTTTTCTGGGATTCCTGTTTTACTTCTAAAAACATGGGGAAGTTGGGCACTTCAGAAACACAAAGTCATGAAAAGTCATGAAAGAGAACAAGATGTAAAGAAGGTCAGAGCACAAGCACAGTAATATGCTATGTAGTGTATTGGACTGAGAGAAATTCAGATCTTAAAGGAGAGCTGCAAAGTTTGTAACAAATGAGAGAAAAATGTTCCTAATACCATTAATCTTTAGAAAGCTACTTGTTAGATGTTGGCTAAAAATAGTTTAAAAATATTCCCTGGAAGGCGGGAAACGAATAAGTGCTTCGGCCTGGTTTATTGCCTGTCCAATTAAACTGAGGTGGTTCTACTTTTACAGGCTATAGAGAAGAGACAAAAATAATAATAAAAATTCTGTAGTTTCAGGACAGTAGTTTCTGGAGCCTTCATTTCTGAAAACAGACCTCAATTTGTCTAAGAAGCATTCACAATACTTGCGTAAAACTTATTAACTGAAGAACAGTCAGTATCCCCTTGCAAACACAGGATCATTCTGGAAGTTTCATAGAACTTTTGTTTACCTAGTGCTGTTTATTTGCTTTCTTGTCTAAAAATCATGTCAACTCTAGTTTGCTCTGTTTTTAAAGATTCAGGAACTTAAACTGAAACAAGGAAAAGAATTTTTATTATTATTAGGCTCGGAAAATAAAATGTTGGTTTTATAATGGCATCGGAGAATTCTGAAATTAGGTAAAGAACCAGTAGTATAAATTCTGATGTTGATACATATTTCTCTTCTGCACCATCATAGAAGTGTAGATGCTTTGTTGATCTCTGCCAAACAGAATGCTGGGTTAAATCTATAATGTTTCCTTGTATCAAGGTTAACTACTGTGGCATAAAACTACAACCCTAATTCCAATGAAATTGCAACTACATATTTCAGTGTAAAACATTGGATAATGCAAAGAGTAAACTGGCAACAAAAGGAAAAGAATGTGGTCCCTTATAAAAAAGAACATTTTCCTTGTGAAATGACACTTTCTCCCTTCAGCTTGAAACAAACTGTGTAGCATCTGCATTTGAGATAAATTGTGTTTGGAGACATGAACACAGAAAAAGCAGACTTACGACCTTTAATCAGTCCTTGTTTATTATTTTAATAGCTGCTTCAGAAGGTAGCAAATTATTCAATGACTCAGGAGGGGGGGAAAAAAGACCTGGTATATTTGGTAAAATTATTTAGCCTTTTTATTTCTGACAAATAAAAGACACTGTGGTGGCAATGGAGTACTCCTTTAGATCTCTGTAGGAATGCTTTTATAAGGGGCAGTAGGTCAAGAAGATTACAAATTGCTTTTCTGCTTCAGATGGGAAGACAATATGCTTCCAACATTTTGTTGCCGAAGTTCTGACTGAGAAGAGATCGATTACATGGTGGTGATGCTACTGCCCCCTGTAGCAGGAAGGCAGAAAGCCTCCCCCCGCCACCTTTTTTTTTTCTTTCTTTTTATTTTTTTTCCAATTTTTGAAGGTCTAGAGAAATATTACTGAAAAAAGCATATTTTCTGGGAACCATACTGGAAGAACGAAGTAAGCCCAATTTCCAAATGTGTTTGCAATTAGGTATCGAATGGTTGTAAGTATAAGGAGACTGAGCTGAATATGGGACTGCTTGTGGCTTTTAACATGCAAAGTAACAACTTCAACATACTATCAACTGATGTAATTCTCAGATTCTAGGGCTATCTGTGAGTCAAATGAAGATGTGTATCTGTCTTTTTAAGAGAAAACACTTAGATGACATCCAAGTCACATCATCAGCATGGCAATCAGATTCTGTTTGCTGGTTTGGGTCTGTGGTTTCTTTACAGGAACGTAGTCCTTATTTTCATAGACTGAGACGAAGATATATGTTTTGTGAAAAAGTGCACTTTTTTCTTTTTTTTTTTTATTTTTTCAGGCCATTTTGAGTGGTTAGAAGCCAATGACAATGCATTATATAGAAGTGCTTATCTTAACAGCTCCATGTGTCATTGCTCCAGCAAGAACTGCCATTTTCAGTTTCATTACTCCATGGCAGATAGCAGCATTCTCAAGGCGGTACTGTTTACTAATCAGGTAAGAAGAAACATGCATTCGTTTTCAAAGGGTAAAAGATATGTTAGCCCAGGTGTTACCAGCCAAGATACAAGGAAATATGCCTGCTAACATATGCCTGCCCCTTGAATTAGTTTGTGCAAAAACAGTTACTTGGTATCGTTCCACTGATCTATGCAATTGTAAAACCTGGGTATTTGCCATCTCAGCTATAAACTAATTTGATGGGTAAACATTCTGCAATAAGACTTCAAGGACAAACCCCAGCTACTATATTATTTAATAATTTGGGGATCTCAGGGGAAAAATCTATGGTAATGGCTTTTCTAGCCTTCTTCCCATTCTGGAAATGGGAAAATAAGTGCTTTTCTCTAAGTAAAAAAGAAAGTTGCTGGCTCAGGATGTGTGGAAAGCTCTTAGCCACCTAATTTGCTTTGCCTATGTTTTAGAGCAGTAATTCTCCTATTCTTCTACTTTATTAACAGACAAAATAGCCGTGTCAAACTGAAACAGAAATGCTAGTTGAGCAATGATAGCTATTTCCATTTTACCTCCCTTGCCTTGTGGAGACCTTCTACTGTTAACATGTTCCCTTTTGAAAGTCTTGTTTAATAATTTAATATTGATGTTACTGTACTGTTACTTAATGAAAGCGAAAGCAGTACAGCTGGTCTCATTAAGTTAATGGCTCTCATATCTTGATGTTGGAGTTGAATTATTAGCACCCAACCATACAAGTATTTCAAAAGACAGATCCACTTCATTCACAAAGATAACATTCAAAAAACCCTGGGGTCTAAATATAGGAACAGGTAATGTAAACTCCTTATTTCCTTCCCACTGTGTCTTCAAGAAGTCATGAAAATAACTGCAGGCTCTTGCTCATTTTCATTTATAAAAGGGAATAGTTATATCTTTCTATGACCCATAACTGTATCAGAGAATTGTAACATAATCAATGTTCTGGTCAGAATGCATGGAGATTTGTGCCATAGTGCTTGCCCATAAGTTCCCATGTATGATGCCCATGGCAACCTTGAGACAGAAAAGGGATACTGATTTTATAGTTCACCTAAGTAGCATCAATGGATCCAATTTAAGAGTTTTCTTTCACTGAAAGCAGAGCAAATAATGTGAACCGAAACCATGAGAAAACTGACATTTGAGTTGCCATAGAACTGGCAGCCTAAATTGAATTAGTTGTTTATGGGTTTGTTAGATATGCATTAGAGTAAGGTTTTTGGCAGTTATGAGTTCAGTGTACTCTGTTTCAACAGCTTCTCTTAGCCCTTTGATGTTTTAGTTATGGAATTTCTCCTTCAGTCAGAAGTGTATTTATTGCACATAGGTTTATTTAAAACTGATACGAGTTGCTCGTACTGCAAAATTTGAGAGAAAAACCTGCAGAAACATAAGATTTTGCTGGCAACTTCAAAACCAAACCTCTACAGACTCATATTTAAGACTTCTTAAAGTGAAATGAAGGAAAGGGTACCTTTCACATGTTTTGCTACTGAATTATTACACTGTTTATGAAAAACAAATGAATCTTCTAAGCTAACCAAATACTGAGAAACAGAAGAGAGAGACAAGTGCTGTGTCTGACCCTGGAACACAACACAGCTGCGATCTTGGAGACTGTCATTCAAAATAACTTCTCGACTGCATGGTTCAGTACCACACAGTTTCCCTGCACCCCCTTTTACTATTTTTATTGGTCAGAACTACTTATCTGTGAATAACTCTTACTGTGTCCCAGTACCAACAGGCCTGATGGAAATGAAGACTGGATTAAATATAATGTACAGTTCTTAGGGACAAGCACCACAGATGTTGCAAAAATATCCCTAGCCTTCCTTGCCCTTTCATCAGAGAGGCCAAAGATAGAGTGAATGTGTTTTCTAATAGACATTATGACATCAGTTGGAAGACAAGGAATTTAAATTATTCTAGGGTATTAAGGATAGGGAAAAGGGACTCTCTTTGTCAATAGTAACCTGTTGATGACTTACATTTAACTTGCAGTCCATGGTAATCCGCAGAACTTTTCATGCTTTATTACTGGCTTAGCAAAGTTGTTATTCATTCAGTACTACTGCATTTAATCATTTGATTTTTCTTTCATAACTGTGATTCCTAGGGCTTTAAACTTTGTGTTGTTGGTTTCAAACTGTTTTGTATACACTGAGATTATTTTACCTTCTTATTATGACCTTCAGAGTGTTTGTAATTCCTCCCGCTTTAGTGTTATCCACATTTTTTTTTAATTGTATTTTTCATTCCACTATCCAAACAGTTAGCATTATAATTGTCAGGTCCTGTAACAGAGCTATGCAAAGACCTATTCTTGTTTTCTTTTAGTTTGATATTAAACTACTGACTGCTGGTCTTTTAAATGATGTTTTACTCCTATTTGTACACCCATTTTACAGTAAACCCATCTGCATCAAATCTCCTCAATTTGCTTAAAGATTGTTCCATGAGATTGTTAAAAGCCTCAATAAAGTAAATTTCTGTCTTTTCAATAATGTTTTCTATGGAAAAAAAATCACACTTGCTGAATTGTTGAATGTGACTTGCTCCTCATCAGAAGCAACTAGTGTAGGTCTCTCATGTTCTAATTCTCTAGCTCCTTACGAGATTATTGTTAGCAATTTGTTCCAGTGTATTATGAGTTGTCAACAGTCAGCTGACTGGCTTTAGTTGCATAGTCTGTATTTTTCCCTTAACTGTAATATATATCCTTTGTTCTCCCAGTTCTCTAGTTTCCTACACATTCTTCTCAAGTTCTCAGAGTTAGGTGTTGATAGTAAGATATTCCTTCCACTACGTAATCTTTAGTTAAAACTTCCTGATTCTCTTCTGGTTTCAGTACTTCTGGCTTATATGTATTCGTAATATTGTTCTCCTATTTCAGTCCATGTTTGCTTTCATATTTGTTGATATTAACTGTCTTTACTAACATAAAATATTAATAATATTTAAAGTCTATTGACTGATAAATTTTAAAATTTTCTGTGAAAACTGAAACCAAATAAGATAATGTTGACTTCAGTCTGCCATTTGCCATTCATTGCTTGCTCATTCCTCCCATTAAGTAATGGGTTTATACTTCTTACTTCTATTTTCTTAATCTTTACATCCTGTATGGCTTACAAAACAGATGGAAATAAAACAATAGAAGATAACTTCAACCTATGTTTATATGTGCAAGCATATTTGTACCCTAATGCACTAACATTTCAGCAAGTGTTCAGCAACTCTTGCAAAATGCACGCAAGTACACGCCTCTGCAGAAGTTAGAGGTGATCCATTAATCATTGTGGGTGAACAAATAAGCCTTTGTTCCAAATTACTCTCTGAAATGAAAGAAGCAGGGACAAAATGATGAGTGCAGTTGCACAGCGGTGAATGTATCTGTAGAGAAACGTCAAAAAAAAAGAGTTGTATTTTATAAATGGAGTTGATAAAAAAAAGTCATGATTGTCTCTTCCATCCTTCAAATCGGAGTACCATTACCTTGGGGAAAAAAAAAAAAAAGACAAAAAACCAAAAAACATTGCAGGGAAAAGAAATAATTCTTGCTCATTTTAGCTTTACAAAAAATTGCTTGTAGATAGTAATATATCACAATAAGGGAAATAGGGTGAAGGAATTTGAGCAACTGCTTCCCTGCATCACCAAAATAAATCTTGAGGGAAAGTACTGGAAAAGCAATACATTCAACATTTTAAAGAAGGCTAAAGATGCAAGGAATGTGCTGGAGAGGTTAACCCATTTGTACCAAAGAGGTGGAAGAATCTGACAACCAGGATGAATACTACAGAGAAAACATTATGAGGCAGGGAAATAACATTATTGGCTTATTAGAGCTGTATAAAGTCAGAGGGTAATGTCTGCTGCATGGAACAATAGCCAGTTTAAAAGTTGTTGCATCTGAGTTGATTTACAGCTTTCAGTACAACAAACAGCCCTGGAAGATCTTAATAGTGGCACATGCACAGAAAACTCAAGTTTACTGGTACAAGCTGTGTTTATTAAAATGAATTTGGGAGAAAGATGGTCATGGGGGATAGTTACCTAAGCTGTTAATTGAATTTGAACAAAAATTGTAGTATCCAGATGTATCCAATCAAACAAACAGCAAATGGAGAATGTTCCCGCAAGGTATGCAAATGTGTTTGGAGGGTTCCTACATGTACGTGGAGGGTGACGTGTGCATACCTAGATACACTAACTAAAACATTTCTAAAAGCAGACATTTAACCACAGGCTATGGTTTTAATCTGCCATGCAGTATTGTTCTTAGTACATCATCCTTCTCTGTGTCTTGTATGATGCTATTGTGGGCTAGAAACATTAGTAGATTTTCTTTAGAGCTGAATTGTTTAGCAAAATGAAGCAAGTTTTAAGCAGAATCAAATGTCTCTAACACTGAAAAACTTTTGCTGAATATCTATCACATGAACAAGTTAACTAATAATTATATTTTGTACTGAAGTGGAAACTCTGACTTTTTTCTGAAACCAAGTGAATAATGCGGTTTATCCAAATTTGTTCTCTTATGTCTTTAGTGTTTGCAATTAGGGTATTGGCTTGGCCCTGTCTTGAAGTTTTCCAAAACTAATCTTTGAACACATTCAATAGAAATTTAGCCTTCTAGCTTTGTTCATGTGTCATAACAGGTATCTTGGTAGGATAAGAGGATAAGTAGTTCGCTACTCATCACAAATCTTATCAGTGTTGTTCTGTTGGCTTAGACCTCTCAGTCTATCAAGCAGGAGGCAGCATCTTCCTCCTCTTTTTTATATTACAAGACAGGAAAAAAATATAACTATTCTTTCTATATTCACATACCTATCATATACCCTTCTATTCAGCTCTTGTGAGGTTAACATTTTTATGCTTTCAATTTTTCTCCATACAAGAGACTTTCTATTTCTCTTACCCTACTTCACATTTTTTTCTGAACTGCCTCCAATTCTATAATATCCTTTGTGAAATAGGTATGACAAGTACTTTGCACAGTACTAAAAGGGATCTCGCTATTAATTCTTGTAATAGTAGATCTGTTTGTGTATATAGCCTATATTAACTTCTCCTACTTTTTTTTTTTTCTCCTTGTCTTTCTGGTTTTGCTCTATTTTGGAGCTGATTCAATTTTGTTTAGGGATGCAAAGTTCACATTGATACATTTCTTTTCTTTATACTGGATTTAGCATGTTCCACTTAGGATCATGACCAGAAGCAGAATGAGCATGAGCTGGTTCTGTCAGATTACTGAATCAAAAGAGCCTGCATAAAGGGAACCTTACCATATTTGGCACTCTTGTTGTTATCCTGAGGAGGTGGAGTAAAAAGGAGAATTGAGGTAACTCAGAACATGACTAGGACTTGTTAGCTAGTACTCTGCCTGCTTGCTTTACAGATTAAAAAAAAAAAAATAAGCACAGTAGATAGTGTAATTTTGACAGACTCCAAATTCAGTTCTAAGAAAACTAAATTTAAGTATAACACAACATAAGCAGTTATTAATGAAAAATAAATGAATGTAGAGATCACCATGCAAACATATTGTTAAATTTAGCAATAACATGGTTTAATTTACTTTTTAATTCTGCCAAACTGACTCCTGATAATTATTTGATTAACCTGTCTAATCACAGTAAACATGTCTTGTTTCCCCCCTCTCCAGCAGAGCTCAGTGCAAAGATCGCAAATCAATATATGAAGCTGTATTTCCTTACATAGAACAAGTTTGTATGTAGTGGTCATTTGGCTAGGATATGAAAAGATGGAGGACAGAAGATGGCCTTGATAATTTATAGAGGAACAAAAATTAGCTTTATAACATCATATCCTACATTTTTCAGGAGGAACATATTGTGTGGGAAACCAACATCACAACTAAGAAGGAATGGGTCAAAGTGGATATAGAGTTACCAACAGAGCTAGAAAAATTAAAGGTATGAATGAAAAAAATGTGCTCAATTTTTGAAAACGTTTTACCTTATTGTTTATAAAGCTTCTAGGAAACTTAAAAAATTGATAAAATTATATGTATCCTGAAGGGCTTGTTGTTCTTCCTTTCTTCAGTGTAGCCAAAGCACTGGTTATAGCTCAACAAAACAACCACACAAACATCAAGTGTTGAAGCAGATGGTTTTAATAACATGTAAGAAAATGAGTACAAGTGTCACCATATTTTAAGTAGTAAGATATCTGAGTCCATCCCAGGTATTGCCAACTAATTTGCGTGAATGTGAATGATGTTTGTGGGATTTCGGTGGAATGATGTAAACCACTAATTGTGAGAGCATATCTTCCCCTTGAATTTGCAGGCATAGAGCAGAATGCAAATTTGCATCTAATTAATTTCTAAATAAATTTACCAGTTTCTATTTTAAGTAATATTACATTTACAATTGTTTTTCATAATTCTGTAAATAACCATTATATTTTACTGTCTCAGCAATCAGCTGAACATGTAATCTTTGTGAAATGACAAAGACTAAGCCCACTGCAGGCATTGACTTTTTGACATATATTAGAATGAATGCATTTCAGCAAGCTAGTAGGTTATAATTATCCGTTGCCTGTCTCTCCTTTTCCTACAAGGATAAGCGTGACTAAACGACCAGATGTACAATAAGGCTATCTATAGTATCTAAAAAAACATTTTAAAAAGGCTGCTGAGGTTGTAAGTATACAAGTCGAAAACCAACCTTATGCATTCTTTGTACAAAGATGGCAAGGGTCAATTTTGCTCAGGGAAGGAAAGATACTGTCTTTAATTATGTGACAATGTAATGTTTTCAGCATAGCACTCTGCTGTTTGAACCGATAGAGAATGGATAGTATTACAAGGCTTTTGTCATTTTGAAGAAATTGTCTCTAGTGGAAGGTAATGTCATATATCATTCTTATTTCTTAGAAAGAAAAATGCCTCTTGAGATTTCACTCCAGCCTAAACCCCAGGCTTTGGGGAGTATGTCAGAACCTTCCACTTATGCCCCAAAGCATCTCTGTTTTAGTTGCCTTCTGTTTTGTTGGAAACTCTTGTCCAGCTTTCTTTCCACTGTGCTTACTGCATCTTGCACAGGACTGTTTTCCAAGACTCCCACTCTGGCCGTGTCACAGCCTGTCAAAACCCACAACTCCACAGGCCCAAGGATTGCTATGAGGTAGCCCATATAATTAAAACATCAGCAAGGTCCTTAGCAAGGTTTTGACTCAAGCAAATTAGCCATCTCCCATACAGTACCTGGAGCAGTTCAAGGGTTACTAGCAGGCAAGGACCAATGCCACTGCGTAGACTGGATGCAGCCATCTTAAGTGGTGAAAGAGATATCGGTTGTTAAGCTATGCTATTGCAGTTAGTGTCTGAGTACAGTCCCTAACCCATTTTATTTACCTCTGATGGCAACTGAAATTTTTTCTCTTGGGCATCTGCAAAATAAGGTTCTGAAGAGACTTCATAGCAGAAGATGGAGTCTTTAGGATGTTACATTTCAGGTCACTCTCCTAAAGCACAAAGGCATTGATTTTTTTTTTTAGCCAAATGGTTATGAGATTAGCAGTTTTTCTTTAAAATTGGCTTCTACTTAACTTCATCCTTGGAATTTGTCAAACCATTGTAGCTGAAAATTTTCAGAAAATTCAACCTGATCTAGTCATACAAAATTTCAGCTTCTGATTTGAAATTTGTCATGGTTTTGTAGTGGAAAATATTCCACGCTTTTTACACATAGGACACTACTGGTTTATGGAAATAAAAATAAGCTTCTCTCTGTTGTCTTTTAATGCAAATATTTTAACTGTAACAATCCACAGCTTATGTTTAAAGGAACACTGCAGAGCAGGGCAAGTTTCATCTGTCTGAATAGCATCCAGCTCTTGGACACTACACCATCAGAGCCACCAGGTTTCTGCTCCTTTGAAGAATTCACCTGCACTGATGGGCAGTCCACGGAGCCTGGATCAGCCTGTGACTTTCACCCAGATTGTTCTGATGGCAGCGATGAGGATCCAGCAGCCTGCTGTAAGTGAAATGCATTGCTTTAGAAGGACATTGTGCTGAAGGGTACTGTGAAAACTAAACAGGTCTATCCAAGAAAGGGCTAAAAAACTTAGTTATTATTTGTGTGGCTCCTTTTCAGCAGAATTTTTAATGGTGTATGAGTTAGTGATAGTGTTCACAATGTTTTCTGTCATGTATTTTTCTTCTTCCTACTGCTTTCTGTTTCTCTCTCTGACCTCATCAATGTTTTGGATCCAGATAACATATTTTTAAGTGCTTGCAGAAATGCAACATTTTACATACTTTTTCTTAAATGTATTCCCTACGTACAACATTTATGAACTCTTCTTCCCTAATTTGAGAGGGACTGAAATCTGCCTTGGGGGCTGTTTGAACACTTTTCTAATTTAGATTACCAATGAGCTATTGTCAGAAAATTCATTAGTTGACATATTTGATCGGCAATTCAAATCACCATATAAATCAGCTACAGTTCAGGAGCTACATCTTTGTAATGATATTTTCAATTAAAGGTAACTTTCCTAGAAGCCACAGTTTCTACTGTACAATCAAGAGGAAAAAAAAACCAATTAAAATTAATGGAAGATGTCTCTAATAATTCTCAAACATTTTAGAGCCCCATGTGAAAGTAGCTTTAGAGACTCTATTCCTTCTAAAATGAATATTATACAGCATGCATCTATATGTATGTTTGCCTGTGGTGGTAATACTTAAATATATGTTATAAATTAAAATCATGCACGTATTTGTAATAATATACATTGCTGCTGGGTGGTGGAAATTAAAATTTTTAGTGTCACTCAGGTTAGCAAGATGAAGGACACTAATAACATTTTATTTTCACATTTCATGAACAGACTTTAGGAACTATTTGTGACGACAAGGTTTTTTTAATTCACAGTCTGAACATTTAATCTTTTCAATCACTTAAATAGCCATGCGGGAACCATCTCTGAAATGAGTAACGTGCAAATGTTGAAATTATATTTTAAATAGGAAGGTTTATACTGTTTTATCTCTGGGTGGAGTCTGAGGCCAACATTAAAGTCTGTAGGGGATCCCTCTTTGATATCTATTTTCCATTTTTACAAGACTTGACCCTATGCTGTTAGCTGTGTGTGTGTGCTGGTGGGAGTGCAGCGAGTCCTCTCATACTCTTTAGGAAGAGGAATGAATAGTGCTTTATAAACTGGACTTCATTTCTCAGCTATTTGATGTTCCCACTTCAGTAACAGTGTGAGAGAATCGTAGTGAATAATTACTGCGAATATAGAAGAATAATTTTAAGATTTAAAAGGAGGATGAAAAATAATTTTCCCAGTTGAAGGGTAACTGTTAATAGTACTACACAAAGTGGAAATAAAGATAACTCTAAAGATTATAGGCAATTATATTTTGCATAACAATGCATTACACTTTCTTATTTTCACTCGTGTGCCTCAGACACTAGACATTGGCATTGTGTAACTGAAAGATGAAATAACGCAGATGTAGTCAGTATTTTAAAGAAAGATGACAGTGGGACTCACTCTTGAGAATATTGTTTCTGTCATGCTCATGTGGATGGGTCAGAAAAACTAGAGAGTGGGTGAAAGAAAAGTCAGAATGGCTTGGGACTCTCAACACTGTCCTTGGTGACACCTCCAGAATTGGGGTGCTGGGGCAAGGGCTGATGGGACACCCAGCCAGTGCAAAATCCTCTTCAGTAGCTCTGCCTAGCACTTCACTGTCTGCTGCTGCCTCTGCAGTTACCTGTGGTTTATCATGTGGCACTGATTTTCCACTAGCTCCTAATGTATTTTAAAGAAAATATACCACTCAGTTGAACCTGAGACACAGGGATTGTGTGCTTCACTCTGAGGCATTTGGAGGTTAAAAACGTATCATTTTGTTGGAGCAGTGCACAAAAGTATACTCATCCTCTTAAAAAAAGGGGGAAAAAAGGTGCTTTTCTAAAACAAGTAGCTCATAACACTTGCATGTTGCTCTGACTACTGGCTGGGAAGAAAGAAAAGAAAATAGCCATCTTTAAAATAACAACTGTTTTTAAAGTTGTTCCATTTTAATGGCTAATTTTGTTTTGGATACTTCATATACTCCTTTTCAGGAAAGAGAACCCTAACCATGGAATTTAACTCTTCAGCAGTTTGGTCAGCTTCTGCAGTCTTGAACAAAAGAGAGCTAAAGGAAAAATCATCCTTTATTTCTGTTCTTTGTTCTTTTCTTCCCATTATGTACATTTTTTTCACATGATCTTGCAGTTGTCCTCCATGATGTTTAGAGTGCACCACATTTATTTACATTAATTTTCAGTAAAAAATCCTATCTCGTACAATGCTGAATATTTTAGCCTCTATTATTCTAGGTATTTTAACGTCTGTCCTTGGACACATCCTCAGTAGGTTCCTTTGATGAAGTACTCTCATGTACTGAAAGAGATGACAGATCTCTGTACCGAATGAAGACAAAGGCAGACAGCTGTTACTTAGCAATGTGAAGGATTTCCCTCTTCTCTGAGGTTTTTTTTTTTTTTGCTTCATTATAATGGGGAAAGAAAAATAATGTTTTTCTTTGTTCATATTAACTTGGCATGAATGGTCTTATAATAATGCAATTTATTACAAGAGCAAATACACGTTTTATGATGCTGCTTAAAGTTTATGCTTAATCTCTGCCTGTTTATATCAATATGTGTTTAAGTGTGTCAGACTTTTAGTCTTGAAAAATTAGGAACTTGTCTAAGAAACACTTATGCACGTGAGTAACCACTGCTATTTCAGTGGTTTTATTGAAATCAATGAATCTAGTGAAGTGACAAATCATGAAATTAGTGATTAAGGTATTAAATTCTGTGTTTTCACTACATCTTATTTGACGCTGTTTATTTGAGATCACTTCTAAATTTCTTATTTCACAGTGACTGATAGTAAATTATAAAAACCTAGTTAACATATTCAAAGCAGAGAAAGTGAGATACAATACTTAGATCATTTGAAGGATTAAAAAGACTCTTCATGCTGATGCCTTTTCTTTATTTCCTACCTAATATAAAGGAAGTTTTTCACCAAATGCAATGCTAAGTAACAAATATTTCAAGCACTCTGCTTACTATTATTCTATGTTATTTATATGTATCATAAAAATACAAAAACATCACAAATGAATTGGTAGCTAGGAATACTATCATCTTGGCAAGAAGTCTAGGAAGTGCTTGCTAATTTCAAGTGATAGCATGCTTTGATACAATAGTCTTTCTGGAAACTGCCTACTCATCAGCACTCATGTAGTTTCAAATGATTGTGGGGTGGGATATCCTACAGCTGTTGCTGAAAGATCACCTTCTATTTAGCCTAATTAGAAGGTTCCTTAAAACACCTGTCTAACTCATCTGGTTTTAATTTTGCATCTTTAGTATTAGTTTAAATATTCTCAGCCTTTCACAGAATTTGTATAATTTATGAATAGAAAATATGTAGAATGAAGGAAACTTGTGTAATTTTAGAGCCATGTGCCTTTTATGGCATTTCATTTATTACAATTGCAAATCCTTAAAACCTTCTACAGCAGACACAAATATGCAAACCTTTTTCGTTCAATTCAACTTTAAAGTAGAAAGAGCATTTTTTTTAGTCTGAAACATTTGTTTTACTACAAATGTGTGTGTTTCCTGTGACACATAGATTGATTGAAATTGTCAGTACCTGTCCATCATTCTTGTATTCTTTTTCTCCTGTTTATATCCCAGAGTCATTGCTCTTGCAGAACTAGTGAATTACTCCTTAACTAATTGAGGCACATTGATACACCCACATGAAAAAAAAAAATAATTCAAATTCAGCTTGTTATTAAAATGAATGCACACTGTTGTTTCCTTTCCAATTTCCTTTATGCTGTGCTGAATTATTAATAGATGAATGTCCAAAAATGAGAATTAACTGGTTTGTTTTCAGAATGTGGAAAATCTTTCTGTAGTTTGAATCTAGTGAAATCTCTCAGTCAAATAAAAAATATAAGCTCTGATGGTAAGAGCTGCAGTAGGAAAGGACATACAATAGCAGAAATATGCTTTACTGTCTGTTTAACTTGTATAACTGCAGTATGACTCCTCAAAAAATACAGGCTGTGCAGTCACTTATTTTCCAACTATGGATAATGAAACCTTCCCTATAGTCACTTGAAGGTTCAGATAAATATGTAGAAAAAGGCTGTGAATAATAAAAATTATGCACTGTTTTGATAGGAAAGGAGTATTTCTCAGAGTTTATTAGTGTTTGAACAATGAAAAAATATACTGAGAAACGTTCTCACTTGGATTTGGGTTTCAGCCAAAACACAGAACTTTTTTCAAGCTTGATTAAACATTTACAAGCACCCCTTGAGTTTTTTGAATTAAATAGAGGTAAAATTCAAGTCAAATGGTTAACTCAGACAATTGTGGGGTTTTTTTCCACATTTATAGCCTAGCTGTTCCTAACATATTAATACTTTTAAAAATGAACTATCGCTTTGAGAAACTATATATGGTGGAACATTTGGGTTTGGTAAGTGACTTTGGCCCAGTGTCTCTGTATGACTGGATGTTTGTATAGAGCTTGTAATTTTAAAAACACAGGTGCAATGAAAAAAAATAGTAGCATCTAAAACACGATCATCGTTATCAAATCTAGTGAACTGGAGCTGCATCTTTTTATCCCTCCCCACCCCCCTAATAAAAAACCAAAACCACACCCGCATGAATGTTCTTCCTGCCTTTATAATTGTGTTCAGGCTTGAATAAAGTTTGAAGAAATTACTGGGCAAAATAATTTGATTCGGAATTGTGTTTTTTGTGTGTGTATATCTTTTTTTTTTCCTACCTGCTTGTGTATTCAACCTAAAAATATGTTTATAAATTTCTTTCTAAATCCATAGTATTAGAAGAAATTGTATTAGTGGCTACCAACATAAGAAATGATTTCTCTCTTTCCTGTTCACCATCAAGGGCAGTGATTGGCTCCATCTGATCACAGCCTTGCTGCTTTGACAATTCTTTTAGCATTCTACTTCCAAATAACTTCAACAATCAGGTTTTCACTATGAGCCAGAGAAAAACCCTGAGCATAGTATTGAGCCACATTAAATGACCGCAGATCTGGTGCCATCAGCACATGAAAGATGTTGTTCATGTTATGACAACAACTCTTCTCATGTTCCTAAGTACCTCTAGGAAAAATAAAATAATAATTTTAAAAAGATCCTATGTTAAATACCTTATTGAGTTGTAAAATATTAATCATTAGTAACATATTGATTTCTCTTTCATATTTAAGCTACTATTTTAAGTTTGATCTGGCGTGTTCCTTCCAGAAGCAAGTTTTCTTCCTTAGTATACAACAGAGGAAGTTCCTTGTGTCTACGTGGACACTATGTTGATTGATGTCTTTTTGGATACTACAATGCAGCTACTGCAGGCAGCACTCTTGTGCAGAAGACCTTTTGCAGGGTTTAAGGGGGCACAAGGAAAGAGATGTTTAAGCAAAGAATGTTTGGTTTTTTTTGTGTCACTTGTGTCACATTGGTTCTCTCAAGACTGCTAAGGAAAGCACAATGCCTAGAAACCGTTACTGTACAGCAAAACAGCTTAGTCTGGATATCAATTTACATATTCTACATTAATGTATTAGGAATTGAAATCTAATTAACAAGGTACCTTGTCAAAAGCATGATAATTCTGTAATTAATAAGTTAAACACATTACATATCTAACTAATATTCTGCGTTCAACAGAAAAACATGTTCCATTGAATTTTAATGTGTGTAGTGAATCCGGATAAGAGATACTGATACTTGTGATTTATTTTGTACCTTAGGATTTAACTACTCAAACAACCTTTTTATACCAGAAAGACCTTTACTATGGAATTTTACTACCATGGTGCTTCAAAAAAGATGCATTTCATTTTGGTTTTGTATAATCTGAAAATTGGAGTAACATAGATAATCATGTCTGAGGCTGATATGATAGAATAAATGTGCCATGAAGTCTGGAAAGTGCCAAGTATAGTTCAAAAGCAATTTTTATAGTTGCAATAAGTGACCCAAAGTGTTAAGTGTAGCACTTTTTGAAGCTGTTCTGGACTAGGAAAGAAAACTCTTAGATTATAATATTTTCTTATCAAAACAATTCATTTTGCTCAAGAAATGAAAGAG